ATACCTACCTTATTTTCTAAGACAATTTAGATTTATTTTTTTATAAGATAATAATGACTTATATTAAGCTTCAACCATTATTTTTTAGCTTGAAGTTATCAAAGAGAGAACTGCTGATAGAAGATTGTGATGATTCTGTAATGAAAGATTTGATACACATTCAGCGTGTATAAATTACTTACCATCAATAAAGAAATATATATCAATAAATGCAAATATGTATTCTATTTAACTGAATGAAAACAAAAGACTAAACTAGAACAATTAACAAACATTTATATAAATGTATCCAATGATTTCATACTAGTARTAATGATTTATTTTTTCTTAATTATCAATGGTCCAACATTGTCCTTTTGTTCAATATTGTACTTATTATGAGCACCATCACATAAAGGGAATTTAGAGCTTCTCCAACAACGACAAAATGCTGTACTTTCACCTAGCTCTTCGATGTCATAACCGTCAACCACTTTTGGAGATTCTTTTTTAATGCAAGGGTTAACAGGCTACAAATAAAAAAGAACATAAATATTTATTAAAAAGTAATTTGGCTTAGTACTTACATGTCTTGGTTTGACAACTCGGTATGAAAGGTAACAAACACCACCAATTGTAGCATAAAACGGAATTAATTTTATTATATCTTTACCTGTAAAATACAAGTTTAGGTAAATACCTATATTTAATCTGTTAAGAAAAATCAAGAGTCCTGAGCARTTAGATTCTTWAATTTTAAAGGTAATGAAYCAAGGTATTAAGAATTTATGAACGTAATAATATTAGAATAAAATAATTTAATAAATATAAATTCATTATTTAGATTTTGGTTTAAGTTGTGAGAGTAAAAACCTGGGAATTGGGGAATATATTATATAGAAATACCAGACTTGTAAAAATATTATCTTTACAAAAAATAATTCAATAAACAGATAGTTAATAATTATTAGCTAGCAAAATGTCGAGGTGAATATATTTATCTAGCAGTGACGCCTAAATGTTTAAAATATAGTAAGACATTGTACATCAAGGAGCCACCATCAGCCCCCTATTTTAATAATTTAACCATCAGATGCAAATCAAAGCAACTATAAATAAGTAACATTTAATTGTATATTTTTAAGTTTAAATGTACATTCTGAATGCCATACACGGCAATATCTTATAGTAGCCCGCCCTCCCATCTAAAAATCTACTATGACATGTCTTATATAAAT